AGGTCCCTCTTATTTAGAAACTCTATCACATAGTGTCTGATGTATATGCTTGTTAATAAAGGGAGTCTGAAAGCTAGTGCCTGTGGCAATGCTTCTATTTAATCCTATCTCATACTCCAGGGTGCTACATGCAAGCATTAAAAAAAAAAAAGCCCAGGAGTCAATTTTACTACTCTTGCCTATTCTTAACACGATGAAGAACAAGAGCAACAAGCAATGAAAAATGCCAGACACACAATGTGAGTCTAGCTCAGAGATGGTCCAGTGAGTCTGGGAGCTGATTTTCCCATCTGATCACGATATGCTGTGGTGCTAGTTGGCAAACTAGCAATTAAGAAATAGGGGGAGGCCAGGCACGGTGGCTCGTGCCTGTAATCCAGAACTTTGGGAGGCCAAGGTGGGCAGATCACTTAAGGTCAGGAGTTTGAGATCAGCTTGGCCAACAGGGTGAAACCCCATCTCTACTAAAAATACAAAAAATTAGCCAGGTGTGGTGGGGCATGCCTGTAATCCCAGCTACTTGGGAAGCTAAGGCAGAAGAACCATGTGAACCTGGAAGGCAGACGTTGTTGCAGTGAGCCAAGATTGCGCCACTGCACTCCAGCCTGGGTGACAGAGCGAGATTCCATCTTCTTCTTTTTTTTTTTTTTTTAAAAAAAGGGAATAGGGGAACACCCAGAAATCAAAAACATAAGTCATGTTCTTAAGTATTTCCTTTGAATTTTCTTTTTTGATTTGTAGAATGAGAACAGTTGGTGTGGTCACTGAAAATCTTTTTTTTTTTTAAAGATGTAAAACCTTTCAAAAGCCCAATATGTACAAGATGATTAACATGATCTGGGTGGAGTAGCAACAATCATGATAATACAGTAGGGATACACAGTGAGCACTTACGTGAGCCTGACACTGCTAAGATGCCCATACCAACCATCTCACTTAAGCCTCAAACCTCAAGGGTATCTAAAATGACATGACTGTTGATGCTGGACTATGACCATATCCAAAGCCTTATCTTCTGATATCATTTTGCTCCAAAATTGCTTGTAAAACATCCATAAAAATTCTCAGATTTCCAAGCATTTCATATGGAAAGTGCTTTTTTTTTTTTTTTGAGATGGAGTCTCGCTCTGTTGCCAGGCTGGAGCACAATGGCTCGATCTTGGCTCACTGCCATCTCCACCTCCCAGGTTCAAGTGATCCTCCTGCCTCAGCCTCCTGAGTAGCTGGGATTACGGGCATGTGCCACCAAGCCCAGCTTATTTTTATATTTTTAGTAGAGATGGGGTTTCACCATGTTGGCCAGAATGGTCTCTATCTCTTGACTTCGGGATCTGCCTGCCTCGGCCTCCTGTGCTGGGATTACAGGCGTGAGCCACGGCACCTGGCCGGAAAGATAGCTTTTAAAAATGCTTACAGATTCTTGCTTCTATAACTTAAATCCAGTCAAAAGTTTAAAAAGTAGGAAACTATACCAATTTGACCATCCTGTAGACATTAATCATGGATAAAAAGAGCCAGTGTAATAGATTTTGAAAAGTGGTCGTGTATGTGTTTTGTTTTTCAAAATTTCTACAGGGTAGGATGATTTATAGCAACATATCTTTCTAGCAGTTCTCACTGGGTCTTGAGATTGAAGGTGACCGCATCTCAGTCACAGTTATTTCTAGTAATAATGTGGCAAAACTTAAGGTAGGTTCACTGCAAAGACAATACCTATAAAAGTTAAGCCATTTAATCCATCCCCTAACCACCACAACAAATGTTCAGGACTAGTGATGACCACGAAAGCACTGCTGCTCATGCAGCCTCATTCCTCCCTTGTATTCAGATATGCTTTCTTGAGAGGGAGAGTGAGCAGATGGGTATGACAGCCAACAGGTAAGACACAGGCATGGGCAATAAAAAGCCATTACAATTTTACCCGTTTATTGGGACAGAAAAAATGAGAAGCATTTTTCTAGATGCATTTTTTTCCCACACAGTGTTCTCCTTCTCTTGTTCCTGTGTTCTCTTTGCATGCTTTCAAGAAAGCATGCAAGAAGCTGGTATCTCATTCAGACCAAAGCAAAACAAAGCCCAAGGACCGAAGTGCCAGCATCATTGCTAAAAATGTTAGGTGAGAGGGAAGCGATGGAAACTCTGAAACATCTTCAACCCATGGAATATCCTGTGGCCACAAAGGGATGTGGATCCCACCAATTTCAATTGGTTCCCACTGATCAATCCTGGGAAATATCCAGGCTGTGTCTGCAGTGTCCCCTCCATTGTTGCTTCTTAGAGATGGCACATCTCAGGCTGTAGGAAGTGGACACTGCTCTGGGGCAGTTTTCCTGGCCAGCACTGCACCAGCCTCTCAGGAACCAGGTTAGGGCTTTCGTAGCAAATACAAGCTCTACCCACATGGTGTGATAGGGCCACAAAGAACTACACTTCTTTCTTTCTTTCTTTTTTTTAAAGAGCCTTTAATGTGGGAAATGAAACTGGTGGGATATTTATTAAATTAAATGTAGGATACAGAATTTATTATATAATATGATCTCAGGCATGTAAAAATGTATTGGGAAAATCTGGAAGGAAATATAATAAAATAAATTTTTTTTCTTTCTGATAGGAGTAGGAACATGAATTATCTTCTTTATAGTTTACTGTATTTCTCAACTTTTCTACAATGAGCATGTATTTAAAAAAAACTTACTTTGGCTGGGCACAGTGGCTCACCCCTATAATCACAGCACTTTGGGAGGCCGAGGCAGGTGGATCACCTGAGGTCAGGAGTTCAAGACCAGCCTGGCCAACATGGTGAAACCCCATCTCTACTAGAAATACAAAAATTAGCTGGGTGTGGTAGCAGGTGCCTATAGTCCCAGCTACTCAGGAGGCTGAGGCAGGAGAATTGCTTAAACCCGAGAGGCAGAGGTTGCAGTGAGTAGAGATCACACCATTGCACTCCAACGTGGGCAACAGAGTGAGACTCTGTCTTAAATACAAAAACAAAAACAAAAAAACCAACTTATTTTTCTCTATAATAAAAAGAGGTAAGGGAAGATTTTGGTTATGCTGAAAATAACTACGGTCCTGTCTAATCCATTTCTTAACATCAAGTACAATGAAACAAAACTCTACCACTTTATTCACTCTCAGCTAATGCTTTCAGATTATGAGTTTCTTAGAGGGAAATTTCCCCTACTTAAGTGGACATACATCTCATTAGCATTATTTTAGCAAATCATACTGTACCATGTGGTTTTATGACCTAACTTTAAGAGTAATGACAATTAACTTTAAAAACAAACACAATAGTCTTGAGATTAAAAATGACTTTAATTAGAACAACATAAATTAGTATTTCCCTCAAGGCAGTTATGTAAGGAAACCATTTATCCCTCTACTGATGTTGCCATTTCTCAAAATATTTTTGGAACATTCTGTGGAACTACTCAGAAAAATCATTCTGTTATTTCAATCATTCCCTATTTTTGACCAAAAATGGCTTTACCAGTTTGACACATCATTTACCTGACTTGACATCAAATTTTTTTAGGGCTCTTGGGTTTGCCCTTAAAAAAACAAAACAAACAAAAAAAAAAAACAAAAAAAACACCCTATCCTCAAAGGATAGAGATTCCCAACCACTGAGATTCTTTTAAGTCCACAAACAATGAAAACAATTCTAAACCTGTTTCCAACCCTATTTTGAGTAATAACAGCATTCCTGCAATACCTGGCTGATTCCCCAAGATGACTAGTCTGAAGAGGCCAATTTTGGGGGTGGGAGAAAAGGAAAGGATCCATTATAGGTTCATGAAAAGCCTAGATAAAGGCAATGGAGTAAGGCTGATTTTGTATGCCAGTAAACACTAACAAAAACCTATTAGAAACCAAAAATTCTCCAGTGCAGTAGGGAAATGGAAAGCCATCAGTGGTTGCTTTGGTCCTTTGGGGTGGCCAGCAAGGGCAGAATCCCAAGCTAGAGACCCCAGGGGCTCCTTCTTACAGGACAGTCTTATCTTATACAAGATAAGTCTATACTACCTTTTCTCTCCATTTGCCTTCTTCATCATTTGTCAACATTGGTTTCACACTAGAATCAATCACCCAGGGAGCTTTAAAAAAAAACAACCAGTTGACTGGCAACATCCAGAAAATGGAATCTGAATCTCAGAAGATCAAGTGTAGTGTAGTGTAGAGTGTGTGTGTGTGTGTGTGTGTGTGTACTGTTTATTCTCTTCCCTTCCTTCAAGTTCCCAAGTGAACTGGATGCCCTAAAGTACAGTAAGGGTGAGAATCGCCAGCAGCTGGTTCAGATGAAGATCAATGCTTCCATCTACAAAGCCTATCTCAGCTGATGAAATGAGCTCCTGAGTAACTAACTCCATTCATCACCTCACACTGTGATTCATAAAAACAAAAATTAGGGGTGATTGGTTGGTCTATACATATAATCTTAGAATATAAAAAATGAGGATAAGAAGCATAAAGTCTTTAGTTGACTAACCACAGAAGTACAGCTATATAATGAAACCATGTCAGAGTCTAGTTATTGGAGGTGATTCTCTTTTCTTCTTTTGGACTCTAAATTTTATCTGTAGACTCTAATTGTTATTATTATTATTATTGAGACAGAGTCTTGTACTGTTGCCCAGACAGGAGTGCAGTGGCACAATCTCAACTCACTGCAACCTCTACCTCCTGGGTTCTAGCGACTCTCGTGCCTCAGCAGTCTGAGTAGCTGAGTAGCTGGAATTACAGGTGCATGCCACCATGCCTGGCTATTTTTTTTTTTTTTTTTTAATTTTTAGTAGAGATGGGGTTTTACCATGTTGGCCAGGCTGGCCTTGAACTCCTGGCCTCAAGTAATCCACCCATCTCAGCCTCTCAGAGTGCTGTAATTACAGGATGAGCCACCGCACCTGGCCTTATTTTCCACAATGAATATGTATCACCTTTTGACACCTCATCCAGTGCTGGCCTGCTGGCTTATGAGATTAAAAAACACATACCGGTAGTATCTTGGGCTGTCACATCCACACCATGTGTAACCATGACCCTGAGGCATTCCACGTGTCCTTTTGCAGCAGCAAGATGAAAACTGGAAAGAGAAGTAAACACAATCTCCTTAAGATTTCTACTATTTAATGTTCATCTCCAACAAAGTTTTTTTTTTTCCTTTTCATGTACACCTTCTCTTCCTTGAGCTCCACAAGCACCCCCTGACTAGGCATTATCATCAACCTCATATTTAAGAGGCGGAAACAGAGGCTCAAGATGGTCTGATAATTTGCCCATTGACAGCTTTAGTTAAGTGATGGAACAGGAGTTTGGTCTTTCAACCCCAAAGACCAGGCTTGAAAAAAGTCAGATTCAGCCATACATTTGTCCTTTATGAAACAAATGAGAAAGTCCCAACTAGATTGAATTTCTAAGTAGTATATCTTTATCAATGTTTTCCTGTTGTCTAGTGTTTTCACCATAGCTATTTTACTGTTTTAAAGTGATATGCTCTAAAAAGAAAATCTTGTCTAAGTCAAAGAGTGACCAGGTTTTTGGACAACTCAATGCCCACTGTTGAGCTGTAACTGAGTAACAACAGTTGCATGCAGCATTTCATAAGTGTCTAATGTGGGTCAAGCATCTGACCACACGCTTTTATGCATTGTTTTTCATTCCTATGACAGCTCTTTAAGGTGAGTTCTATTACGTTCTCCATTAGATGTCAGGTGTCCACACTCTGGTGCAAACAGTATTAGAGAAATCCCACCATTAAGACTCCAGAACTCAATGACACTTGGGAGCATGAGCCATGATCAGCATGTTTAGACTGGGCATTTGAGGAAAGGATAACATCCAAATGTCAAGTCAATCATCCCTGCAGATCCTGGGGTGAAGAGCACTTTTGCATGCAGAAAGAAGCAAAGCGCAATTCCACTGGGCTGTTAGGCCCAGAGATCAAGATGGCTGCAAAATTTGGCCAGATTTCCCTTCTCTCAGTTGCTATCCTGTAGAGAGGTTAATGAGACTTCTAGTTCTTCTCTTGCCTCAGTCATGTTTTAAGGAGGTGCCCTCAGGATACCTCTCGTGAAGTCCCTTAGTGTCTGTACCTCCGAATTAATGCCCAGGTAATTTTCTCGAACTGGTAGGATCTGTCATTAAAGCCCAGGGTAACATTCAACTGGAAAGTCCCAGAGCTGATATTTAAACCCAAGTTGGTCTGATTCCAGCCTCTTCTCTTAATAGCTTGGCTGAGTGACGGGGACAGATCAACAAATAGGAATACTTCAGTACCAGTTGCAAATCAGCCATAACATAATTATCTGTGTGTTTTAGGAAGTCATTTTCACCTCTCTCTACCTAAATTTTCTCCATTGTAAAGGTTGGGGATCAAGTCAAATAATTTCTAATGGTTCCCCTGGCTCTAACATTCTATTATTTTAGCCTACCTGGCTGTACTCACAGCGACTATTTCTGTATTTGTGCAGCAATCTATCTATGTGTAATATCTATTTACAGTCAAAATTTATTTTATAATTGATTTCACATTACAGTAAAACTTTGAGTGCATGTAATGATTTGAGAGTGTAGTGACTTGTTTTTTTTTAAAATTTCTTTTTTTTTTTGAGACAGTCTCACTCTGTCACCAAGGCTGGAGTGCAGTGGCACGATCTTGCCTCACTGCAAGGTTCAAGCGATTCTCCTGCCTCAGCCTCTCAAGTAACTGGGATTACAGGCGTATGCCACCACACCCAGCTGATTTTTGTATTTTTTGTAGAGATGGGGTTTCACCATGTTGGCCAGGCTGGTCTCAAACTCCTGACCTCAGGTGATCCACCTGCTTTGGTCTCCCAAAGTGCTGGGATTACAGGTGTGAGCCACTGCGCCCAGCCATAGTGACTTATTTAAATGGAATTCCTGATTCAATGTAGCTTCACCAAACTATATTAGCAGTACAATAATTCCTTCACTTCTCAACATTGTTGGGATAGCTTCATTTTACAGTAAGTTCACCTTTAAGCAGTAAGTCTTTTATTAATCTTGGTAGGTTTCTAAAAGTTTCCCAGCCTTTGTAATAGTACATGTAACGTAATTAATTGCTCCTGGGAATATGGAGTCTCCTCAGTTATTGAATTATATGTTTAGGGATATTAATTGAAATGCCTCTGGATTACTAAGCCCTAAAATTGATTAATATTTAGCTTCTTAACGTCTCTGACCATCTCCTATGACAAGAGGAAAACTAAATCAAAGGTATCTAAACAAGACAGTAGCCATATCCCATTCTAAAGATAAACATGCCAGAAAGTGTCTCCTGTACATGTGCATATACACACCCCAATCAATTTATCTACATTTAACTTTTGATTGAAGTAAAACATGTAAAGAAAGCTACACATGTAATTGTACACCTTGCTAAATTTTCACAAATGAAATATATTTTGCCTTTATACTAATCAAGATACAGAATGTAATCAGTGTTGAGAAACATTAAGTTTACCCTGCCCGCATGGCTCCTCTGTGGAGGATAGCTTTTAGTCTGTAATTAGTGGTACACAGGTAACAGCTGCTGACTTGGTATATTCTTGAGTTATAAGTAAATGTAGAGCACCTGTGTATTAATAAGAATAACCTGTCTAAGAGCAAATACTTACATGGGTGAGAATCTGCTGGGGGCCTTCAGCCTGGAGAGCTGTCAGCCCCAGAGGCTCTCAGGCTATTGGTCCCCAGGACAGATGCACTCTGTTGTGCTATTTGGGTGTCTGCCTCTGAAAACAGCTTCAGCGCCACCTGGGTGGTGGTCTCCCAACCGAGCTGGTTCTCGGTAGGTCAGAGACCCCCAAAACCTTCCTCATAGCTCCTGCTAGCACCCCAGAAGTTCTCCATGTGCCCCTTCTAGTTACCCATCCCCTTCCCCATGTGGTATTTTTATTTTTTCTACTCTGAGGCTTCTTGGATTACGTCTGGATTAACAGTCTATTTATGGGTAGTTAGAACTGCAGACCATCTGACAGTGAAGCATTATGGTAAGCCACTCCTGTACATTAGTAAATGTAGTCTGACAAACATGACGTGATATTCTACGAATGATTTGAGAAATGCAGAGTTGCAGGATCATCACTTGGAAGGTCCACGATGATTACAAGGCAGAAGTGAGGTGCTGGGAAGCTGCGCTCAATTTCCAACCCCACAAGAGAATTTTCTTAGATATGGCTTTGTAAAAGAAAATTCCTGATATCAACCTAAATTGATATATTTGATGGCTAAAATAAATGTTATTGAGGGATGTAGTTAAAGCTTCATATGCATAATGCTTTAATTGTGTGTAATAGCAAGAGAGTTTATTTTGCCTTGCCTTGCCCTTTGAGAGTTTGAACAATAAGTGACTTTTTTTCTCTATTTTGGTGACTTTCCAACTGTTATTCTTCAGAATGCTTGTGTCCTGCTGAGAAAACAGAATGACAGTGTTTTTCTAATTCATTATTTTCTCTTCATGTATTTTACCTAAAGCTGCATCACTTACTGTTCTTACATATAAAACGGACAAAGCACAAACAAATACAAATGACTAGAAACAGCTCATTCTATAAGGACAGATATTCCTGGCTTTGATTTTACACTGCATGCATCTAATACTGTATTTTCTGCTAGCAAAACCATTGCTAGTTCATGTGATTCAATTAAACATTATTTCAAGGTGTTTCTGCAGGAAAACTCTAACATCTAGGTGTTTGTTGTGTTCTGATGTCACACAAAAACGTCTGCTTTGCTTTCTAAAACACACAAGCAGAGGAGTGATTCTGAAAAGCACGAAAGGCAAAAACTGATCATTTGAGCTAGAAGTGTATGATCCGTTTCTCCAGACAAGGAGCTCCACTTTGTATCATCATTCCTCTCACTGGGTATGTGCTTCTGGGAAATGGAAGCAAAGCCAGGAAACACAGCCTGCAAGTCTGCTCTTGGGGAGACAGTCACTAATGCTGTGCACTCTCTCTGCCCCTCCAGGTCTGCCCCTGCCTTTATCTCCAGGGTTGTGGCCCAGAGGCGGTCCCCCAATGAACTGCATCCAAAGGGCTGCCCTGTGCTTTGGCTCCTGGTTGGGCTTGCCCAGTGAGAATGATGAAAGAGTTCAGGGCATCATCTCCTTCCCTCTTTCCCTGGCCACACCTTGGCAGTGGCTGCCTTCCTCTGTGAAGGCCACAGCTCTGCAAGCTGGCTCTCCCAAAGCCATAGCTGCAGCTGTCCCTCCTTGCTCCTTCAGGTCAAGAGTAGAAAGAGATTCCCACTGTTGCCAGAATCCAGGGCAGCATTCCCGACCTTACTGGTTTCCCTTAACCTGGTCACATATTTGTAAATAGTTGGTTTTTTTTTTTTGGTTTTTTTTTTTGAGATGGAGTCTTGATTTGTTGCCCAGGCTGGAGTACAATGGCGCAATCACAGCTCACTGCAGCCTCCGCCTCCCAGGTTCAAGTGAGTCTCCTGCCTCAGCCTCCTGAGTAGCTGGGATTACAGGCGCATGGCTATTATTTGATTAAATATTTCTAAGAGCCAATTCAGACTATTTTTTTTAAAGTTTTAATTGCCACATATAGTTGATTTGCTTATTTAATATATGGGCTTTGCGGCTAAAATGTAACGGGAGAATATACCATATAACTTTCTAATTCTATGGCATATAATAAGTGACTTCAAAAAGTTTTCTAATATGATCTTAGGCCAAAGTAAAGGCCTGTTTAAAGAGTTCAACAATACACCTTTCCAAGCATAAGAAAAACAAATGACTTAAGGGAGAGCCAACACACAGTCTAGAATGTCCTACTACTTAATAAAGAAACACTAAAATTCAAACTTTTTTATGGTGAACTTGGTTTTGAGAGAATAACCAACAACCCAAACAATACATATGGGCACCCACACACACCCATGTATGTGTGGGTGCCCATATGTATTGTTTGGGGGGTGCGTGGGTGTCCATATGTATGGTTTGGGGTGCCCAAACAATACATATGGGCACCACACAACTGCTACAAAAACAAAATTAAAAAGCCATCAAACCTCACACACTTTTTACCAACCCAACCATCCAGATAATTTGTAAAA